CTTGGCTGTCCTAGGACTCACTCTGTAGACCAGGCTGGCCTTGAACTTAGAAACCTGCCTGTCTCTGTCTCCCAAGTGTGCCACCACCTCCTGGCAATCGTGTGAGTTTTGGATTTTAGATATAAATGTAGTTCCAGAAGAAAATGGGCTGGGCTGTAGCTCAGTAGTGGAGGGTCTGCTTAGTGGATGGGAGACCCTGGGTCCATCCCCAGCACCAAAGAGTTTTCTGAATAAGCACACACAGGAAAAGCTGGCATGGTGGCACTTGAAGTAATTGAAGTACTTGGGAAGCTGAAGCCAGGGATTGTCAAGAGTTCATGACCAGCCTAAGGTTTTTTTTGTTTTGTTTTGTTTTGTTTTTTTGATGCAGCCAGAACCAAGCATTAGTGGCACTAGCCTTTACTCCCTGTACTCAGGAGCCAGAGGCAGGCAGATCTTTGAGTACAAGGCCAGCCTAGTCTACAGAGCAAAGTTCCAGGACAACCAGTGTTGCACAGAGAAACCCTGTCTTAGAAAACCAAAAAAATAAAAAAATAAAAAAAAAAAACAACAACAAAAAACAAAGCAAAAGCTGTAGGCTCAGCCAGGCATGGTAGGTCACACTCAGGAGGCTGAGTCAGAATACAGCTAGAGTGTTAGAGGCCAGTTTGGACTGTATAGGGAGACCTTGTCTCAAAACACCAAAGGAGAGGGAAACCTAAGCTGATGTTCAGGGCTTGCCTAGAACATTTTTGCTTATTCTTCCCTGCTGCTCTCCTCATGTTCCCCCAAAACAAGCAACCACAGGAGTCAGGGTTACAGCAAAGCAACATCTGGCCATCACCATGCGTTAAAGGGGGAAGTGGGGACCAGGCGTTGGTGGCTCACACCTTTAATCTCAGCACTAGGGAGGCAGAGGCAGGTGGATCTCTGGGAGTTTGAGGCCAGCCTCAAACTACTACTACTAGAGCTAGTTCCAGGACAGCCTCCAAAGCCACAGAGAAACACTGTCTCGAAAAAAAAAGGGGCGGGGGGGGGGGGGGGGTGTCTGTGGCCATCATCTGCCGAAATGTCCCAAGAGAAAGTGTACAACCTTTGCCAGCCTTGCACACAGGCACATGTAATCTCAGCAGAGGCAGGAGCATTGTTAGATGGTGAGTCCTGTCCTAGCTTGGACTACCTAGTGAGCTGTTGTCTCAAACATCATTCAGGCCTTTGCTAGTAACTGACAGAACTGGTCACAAGGGAATCTTATTCCTCGTGGTTCCTTGTAGTATGGTTGACCTGTGTATACTTGAGTGCCGAGAGGCATTGAGGAGGGCTGACAAGTGAGGTGGGTAACAGGCTGTTGAGCGTGTGGAGTCATCTGTCCCCCCTGTCTGTCAGCAGCATCCAGGTGCCACCTCTCCAGGAGGCTGCCTGTTGAGTCATAGCTATGATCATTGAAACCAGTTTCCACCTTGCTGGGAAGGCCTGGCTACAATTGAATAGCGTGATGTAACCACATGATGACTGTGCTCAGCGGTCACTTGGTGTTGTGTGTTAAGTTCTCACTGTAGCTGTTGAATTAATATCAAGCCTGTTGCCCTATGTGCACTTCACATGCCTAGGCCACCTGTGCCAAGGGAGTGGTGTCAGCATCATGGATGCACACCTTGTTAAGCCTGTTACTTGCTGTTTTTTCTGTAGAGCTGGTGGAGTTGAAATCTATAATGGGGATCGAAAGATAAAGGTTTCCAACACCCTGGAGAGCCGGCTGGACCTCATAGCCCAACAGGTGAGTGTGGAAGGCTTCTGGTTACCTTTTTTTTGGGCTGTCGAAGTTGGGCTTTTTCTGTCCCACCTGCCAGCTCCCAAATAACCACTTGGAGACTTCTTACTAATTATGAAAGCCTGGATAATAGCTTAGGCTTGTTTCTAACTAGCTCTTACAGCTGAAATTAGCTCATTTTCTATTAATTTACTTTTTGCTTCGTGGCTTTTTTACCTTTACTCTGCCCATGTTTTCTCTGTGTCTGGCTGGTGACTCCTTTTGCCTCTGCCCTGAAAAATCCTGCCTAGCTATTGGCCATTTAGCTTTTTATTAAACCAATCACAGTAAAATATCTTCACACAGTGTAAAAGAATATCCCACAGCAGGCTGGCACTTGCTCTCAGGTGCTGCAAGAACATAGGCCCTTTGAAAGTGAGTGCAAGGCTGCTGGTTCTCTTGTCTCCATACTTGTGGGTCATCTTCCAGGCATGGTTAACAGCTGCACTGCTGACTTGCTTACCCCTTGATTTAGTGGTGTGGTTAGGCCAGGTGTGGTAATGCATGCCTCCAGGCAGCCAGAGCTCTGTGAATTCTGAGGCTAACCTGGTCTACAAAGTGAGTTCCAGCACAGCCAGGGCTATACAGAGAGACCCTGTCTCAAAAAAGAGTAGTTTAGGGGCTGGAGCGATGGCCCAGAGGTTAAGAGCATCGGCTGCTCTTCCAGAGGTCCTGAGTTCAATTCCCAGCAACCACATGGTGGCTCACAACCATCCAATATGAGATCTGGTGCCCTCTTCTGTTGTGCTGATATACATGGAAACAGAATGTTGTGTACAAAATAACTAACTAAATAAATAAATAAATAAAATATTAAAAAAAAAAAGAAGAAGAAGAATAAGAGTAGTTTAGCCAAACAGGGTAGGTAGAGTTGCCACTTTGGAAGCTGAGGTAGGAGGATTACTGTGTTTGAGTCCAGTCTGAGCTACAAACTGAGACCTTGTTTCCAAGAACGTGCAATATGCTGAAAATGAAAATGGTGGTCTTGTAGCCATAGCACTTAGCTGTATCATCTTTGGGTAACCTAGAGTTACTATAGCATCCAGTGATACAGATGAGTAATTAAATGGACATGAAAGCTTCAAGCCTGGCCCAAGTAGATAAATAGCTCAGTGGGTAAAGTACAAGCTTGAGGACCTGAGTTCAATATCAAGAAACTACATAAAAAGCCAGGCATGGTGGCATGTTTGTAATTCCAGTGATAGGGAAGTAGGTGCAGGAGGGTTCCTGGGCTTGCTGAGTCAGTAAACTCCAGGCCAATGAAAGGTGGCTCCAGAGGGATACATCTGAGGTTGTTGCCCTGTGGCCTCCACAGCATGTAGGCATGGTGTCTCCCTCCCTCTTCTCCCCACCCCCTCTGTCTCCTAAAGAGACAAAACTTCAGGCCAGATACAGTGATGCACACCTATATAATCCCAATATTAGGAAGCAGGATGGTTGACAGTTCCAGGCCAGCCTGGGCTAGACAGTAAAACCTTGTTCCATCTCTAGTCACACCCACACAGCTCTCTCTCTCTCTCTCCCTCCCTCCCCCCTCCTCTTCCCTCCCTTCCTCTCTCAACACACACACACACACACACACACACACAAACCTCTTTCAGTTCTTTGCCAGTACTCAGGAGGCACAGTAAAGAAACTGCCAGCATGAATCATTCCGTGATATGGTTAAGGCTTTATTGTAGTTACCAGAGAAAGAACAGCCAGAGGCATCTGGAAGGGTCCAGAGCAGAGAGAGAAGGAAGTAGACCAGCCATGGCAGCAGACTGGGAATGGAGGGCTGGTGGGGAGGGGAGAATAGTGGAGCTAGTGATCAGATCAGAGAGAACAGAGTGAAGTGAGGGAAACTGACACCTTGGGCAGGTGAGAGAGGCTAGGATGCCAGCTGCGGACTTTGAAATGCGTGACAGGTCCTTGTGACAGATACTGAGGCAGCCTGCATTGGGATCTGCAGGAGTTTTGGTACACAACCACAGATAGCCATATGTCCTTTCTGCCAGAGGTAAGGGAAATGACTCCTTTTGACAGGTGGGAACCAGTTTACAAGTTCCCGAGGAATGCTGGCTTTTATTTAACTGCTAAGGGTTTATTTGACCCCTAAAATTTGTCACAGCCTTAGACATTTGAGGCAAAGTCCTTGGAACTATCTGTTTTAACGAGGGCTTCAGCGTGGTCACTCCCGGCAGGTTGTAGGCATTCAGAAAGAACGTATCTGATCCCTGTATGATGCAGTGGTGCTGTTGACACCAGCTCCTGTGTCACTTTCTTCTCCCTGTCCCTTTTGTGAACAGTTGGTGTTAGTCCACATGTGACTGCTTAAGTGCCCCTTGCACAGTGCAGCGGACAGGACGGATCTGGTGTGCTTAGCTCTGACTTTCCCCAAGAGGTCCTTATTTACTGACTGGCTTCTTTACAGATGATGCCGGAAGTCCGGGGAGCCTTGTTTGGTGCAAACGCCAATAGGAAGTTTCTGGACTGAGCCTGGGGAGGTGCAGTTCACCTGAGGCTGTACTCTCTACTCCTGGGGCAGCAGATATCTGTGTGGCTTCATCTTTCTGTTCTGATAATCAGTGGATCCCCTCTGCAACCAATGCCCTCAGCCCAATGTCAACAGAAGGGAGGGCCACTTGGTGTGGGCAAGAGCCCAGCCCAGCCCAGCTCAGCTCGTCTGACACCACAGCTACATTGGTTCTGCAGCAGGACTCAAGGGGTCAGATGGTACTGCGTGGCCCTCACCAAGGACCCATCCTCCCTGCTCCTCCTCTAGTCTAGAGTGAGTGTGCATGCTGCCCCCACTCTCTGGGTGTCAAGTGCATGTGGGGCTTGCATTCCTCCAGCTACACTGGCTTTACTGTTACTCCCTGGGTCTAGTTTTCCTTATCTGTAAATGTGATTTAAAATCTAAGCCACAACTACTCTTTATTTATTAAAAGAAAAGGTTTATGTGGATTTGGTTGTCCTTTCTTTTGTAAGGCAGTATGAGTCTGGCCACAGTGGCACACATCTGTAGTTCCAGCTGTGGTAGCAGGATTGTTTGGGGCTAGCCTAGGCAACAAAGAAGACCCTATCCACCACTACCAAAGGGGGATGGGGGAATAAAAAGGAATCCCAAGAGGAACTACTTCTGAATCCCTGTGGGATTGATAGTTTACTAGACCTTTCTGCAACCCTGTGACCAAATGGACACCATACACAGGTGTTCACTATATCTGCTCCAGAGTCTGGACAGCTTTGTATGTGCACACGTGCTAGGAATGCATCCCAGAGCCTCACACGGTAAGCATAAGCTGTACCGAGTCACACTCCCCAACCTATGGTCCATGCATCTTTGTTAAAACAGCTTTATCCAGACAAAATGAAAAAAGCCCAAGTTTGGGAGGGAGGGAGGGAGGGAGCTTTGTATTAATTAGTAAGACCCTTTCTGGACACCATGTGTGCTTGTGTTTGTCTTAGGTGAATGTGTAGAGTCGTTGGGCCTGCAGTAGGGTCTTGGCTGTGGAGTCTTACAGAGTGAAGCCATTCAGATGACTGTGATGGTTGTTTGCATGCACATCTGACCCCAGAACCAGATTTGTTAGATTTTTCTCAGTGTGGATGTTTTGGTTTTGTTGGTAATTTTATGTGGTGGAGGCTGGCCTAGAACTTGCTTATTGGCAGACGATGCCCTTCACTTTGCTATCCTCCTGCCTCTACCTCCTAAGATTAGGATTATAGGCACATGCCACCATATCCAGTTTATAAGGTGCTATTGGTGGAACCCAGGGCTTGAGCAATGTACGCAAACACTCTACCAACTAAACTGTGTCCCCAGCCTGGTTTCTGTACATTCACCTAAGGACAAAGAGCACGGATTGTGCACGCCTTTAATCCTAGCACTCAGGAGGCAGAGGCAGGCAGATGTTAGGCCAGCCTGGTCTACCAAGTGAGTTCTAGGACAGCCACGGCTGTTACACAGAAAAACCCTGTCTTGGGAGGGGGTGGGGGACAGGATTGTTTTCTTAGGGCCTGATGACATCTCTGTGATATTATCCCACCTCTCTATAGCAGGCTATGGAGGAAGGAAGCTATGGGAACCTAGAAGCCACAGCTCGGTTCTTCAGGAGACATCTCCTTGTAGTCATCTGCTGTGCTGATTACTGGACAAGGATTTAGCCGACTTTATCATTGCTCGTGTCCCACAGGCACCCACTAAGGAGGGATCTGGGCCCATACTTGACAAGAGTGGGCATCTGGGCAGGACAGCTGCCCATTTGGGTTCATTTGACCATTAGTGATGTTCAGGAGGGCACATGGTCAAGGCCAGGTGCACTTTTGATGTCACAGCATCAGTGCTAGGATTAACACTAAGTCCTCACACTGATGGAGCTGTGCTGGGCTTACCTACAGTGACTATGTTAGTGTAGAACTCCCATCCTTACTGCGCCTGGTCCTGCCATTACACACCAAGGCTGTTTGTATTGTTAAAACAGTGGTTGGGGCTTCTGAGTGCCCCTGGTAAGCCTAGCTTTCATAAAGGGAAGTGAGGGCTCTACTCACTTAGTAACATGGGTCATTTCTTCTGAGGTAGCGCTACAAGTTAGAGACCACGTACCACAGGGTGGGCATCTTATGCTTCCAGCACCACCACCTAGTCCCAAATGTAGGGCCAGCAGTGGCAGCAAGTGAGGGACACAGATTACTCAAGGCACTTTAAGATGCGTTCTCCGATACCAATGAAGTAGATGCCCTGGGCGATCCCAAAGAGGGGGGCTATGACCAGGGCCCGGCAGCCTGCTCCCTTCATGAAGGCAGCCGCTCCCTCCTGTGTCCACAGTTTCCTGTGAAGAAAGGAGAACCTTGGTAGTTGAAGGCTAAGAGCATACTTACTCATGACTTTTCTCTAAGCTTTACTTGGTTTTTGTTGAATTTGGGGAGTAGATCTCCAGAGGTAACCCAAACTGGCCCTGGGCTGCCCTCAACCTCCTGAGTGCTAGGATTCTAGGATTACAAATGAGCCATCACTTACTTCATACCTCTTTTGAGACAAGACCTCACCAGAGTTAGGCTTACCTGTGGTCCTACCTTCACCCCAAAGACTGGAGCCATTAAATAAATTCTCCTTGGAGATTATCCAGTGCTGCAGTGTGAGAGGGGAGCTACTTAGCAACTCTGGTTGGAGGAGTGGGGAGAAGCACAGATTCATGGAAGAATGAGAAAACTCCCAATACTGCATTCCCTGAGAAGTGAGGGGCCAACAGGTTCCAAAGCAGCTCCAAGCCCTGCCATGGATGGGGTCTTGAGCTGGCATGGTGTCCGGGGTGCGAGGCTCACCTGGCACAGTCAGTGACCCCACTGTAGCTGGCCTCACCCAGGCCTTTCTTGAGAGTCTGGATTCGAGTCTTCAGAACTGAATGAAACAGAAGTTAAAGCAAGTAACAAACACCGAGTTTGTCCTTTCTGCAAACAGAGTGGGTGTTCCCTGCAGGACCAGTTCTGAGGCTGTGAGAAGCAGCTCTCTCATCTCCCCTGCAGTGGGGGAACGGTTGCTGCTTGCCTGTGAGGGGGCTGTGTGTGACTCTGAGAACCCGGAGCATCTTACAGTTCCCCCAATGCCAGCTTTCAGACTCAGAACTACGGGGAAGAAAAAGTAGTCTGTGGAGGGTGAGGGGCTGTGAGGACACCTTGCCTTCTGTGAGGGCCTCTGGTGAGTTTATGCCAGTGACTGACCACAAGGGTGTTGAGGATTGGGGATGTTTCACAAGCAAGTGCAAGCTCTGTCCTTAGCTGTATGAGCCTGATGGGAAAAGCAGGGTGACCTTTAAACCCCAAACCCCAGCCCTCTCCACACCTACCGTCCAGAGGGGTGACAGCTACTGCGGCCACGGAACCTGCTGCGCAGCCTGCCACGAAGGAGTGTGCGAAGGGGGCCTTGCCTGTGACCTCGCTGACCCCAAGCTGGTTCAGGTTTGCAAACAAGGGGAAGTAGATGATGGAGAAGGGAATGTCTCTGCAGAAGAGAAAGGCGACCCTCTGGGTGCCTCTCTCAGCAGCTTCCCCAGGAGCAGGGGTGGGCAGCAGATGGGAGAAATGCCCCCATTAGGCAGAGAAGTTTTTCCCCTGTCCAGCGCCCCCATCCCCACCTCTGTAACCTGCAGAGGAACCAACTGGAGGGAGAAAGTTTGGTGCCATGAGTAAGGTAGGCAGGTCCCTAGATAAGACTCTTGAGGGCCTCAGGGCCCAGGCTCGGGAAGAGGTGCTCACCTGAGAAGAGTGGCACCCAGGCCCCTGTAGAGCCCCCACAGACCCTGAGTGCGGAGCAGCTCCCGGGCAATGAGGGTGGCAGATGGGCGCCTGTGAGTGGAAGCTGAGCCAGTGCTGTAGGGCCGGGAGGTGGGTGCTGCTGAGGCGGAGCCCTGATGACTGACAGCTGGAGAGGAAAGAGGTGTTCTTGGTGGTGGATCTCTCCCAATCCACCCAGCCTGATTAAAATCCTTGCATGGCCTGCCATTTTCAGCAATTTGAGCCTTTTCAGGTAGTTGCATCCTGCTATCGCTTTGAGACAGAAACACCGTGTATGTTCTGTTTACTGTTAAAAGCCACCAGCGAATGCTTTTGTCTGAAATAACCTCTGCAGTCTCCCTTACTCCAAGACCAGCTACCACCACCAGCTTTATACTAGAATTTCTTATGTTGAAAAGGTGACATGGCAGGCAATTTCTCTTGGCAGACAGGGACACATGGGCTTCCTAAAGCTGTTTAAGCTGCTATAACCCAGTCTGGAACTTGACTAGACTCCAACACAAGTGTGCACAATGGAGCGGAGGGTGATGGTGTTGAGTGTATTACACAGCTTATTTAACCAGACACTGTGGCTTTCCCTGTGGAGGCCCCTGTCTCTTCCTCAGTTGCTTAATTCTTGCTCTTACTGAATGTGCGGCACTCTCAGCACTCTTACTTGGTTTTTGAGACAGGGTTTCTCTGCTGTGTAGCCCTGGCTGTCATGGGACTCTCTCTGTAGAGCCTGGTGCTGGGTGTGTAGTGCAGTGCACCCTGTGCAGATCCTGCCTTGCTGATGCCATGAGTTGGGATGTGTCTCACCTAAGCGACCAGCATCCTGCAGCTGAATCTTGAGCATTTCCATGGGACAGGTAACCACCACCTGGCATATCCCAGCCCCACACCCGGCCAGCATCTCCATCTTCAGGTTCCGCTGCGTCCTGTGGGTCCAGAAGTAAGGTTCTTAGTCTCAGGCCAGCCCTGCCCCACTCTGCCCATTCTTTGGTGGTTGGGACTGTTTGTTTTGTTTTGTTTTTTAAGTCAGGGTTTCTCTATATAGTCCTGTCTGTCCTGGCACTCCCTCTGTAGATCAGGCTGGCCTCAAACTCACAGAGATCCTCCTACCTCTGCCTCATATTGGTGTTTACTGGTTTCATCTCAGGTGTACACCCTGCCAGTATAGCCTCTGCTGGAAATGGAGCTGCAGTGTGCAGGGGCACTGTCTGCACTTGTAGGGGGTGGGCAGCAGCAGAGGCTGCAGTAAAACTGAGGACAACTTGGTTTACATACAGTTTCAAAAACACCAATGTGATGTCAGAGTTTTACTCCAGCCTCTTAAGTACCATCCCTAGGACAAGTGGGGACACAGAAGAAGAGAGGGTTTGGGGGATAATGTTTAAAATTTGTCGGCTTAAAGGGTGTGACCACACAAGGTATGATTCTTAGCACTCAAGAGGTAGAGGCTGGAGGATCACTGTAAGTTCCAGGCCAGACAGAGCTAAATAGGAAAACCCTGTCTCAAAACAAACAAACAAAAAGAGCCAGGTGGTGGTGGTGCAGGCCTTTAATCCCAGCATGCAGGAGGCAGAAGCAGGTGGATCTCTGTGAGTTGAAGACCAGCCTGGTCTACAAAGAGAGTTCCAGAACAGCCAGGACCGTTGCACAGAGAAATCCTGTTTCGGAAACAACAACAACAAACAAACAAACAAAAGACCCCGAAAAACAAATAAAACAAAAAATTTACCAGCTAGTTACTAAACACATCTCTAGATATTCTGTTCCGAGACAGTAACATTGAAGGTCTGAGCCACCGTCATCTGTCCTTACCCATCTTGCATGAGCAGCTGCCGCAAGAAGTCATTGGCCGCCAGCTTGATCGCCTTCTCTGGAGTGACCAGGGTGAGGTTTACTGCAGCCCCTGGAGGTGAGAGACGGAGAGAAGCAGCTATGGCTGCTGCAGAAGTGACGGTTCCTGGAGCCTGCCACTGACAGACAAAGCCCTAAGAGGAAGGGATCTGCAGAAGAGACCACGCCTGCTCTGGAGTGAATGGGTCTGCAGAAGCCAAGCAAGGGAACAGTCTATCATACTGAAAGATGAGCACATCGTTTTCCTTTTATTTTTAATATATTTGTTATTATTGTGTGTGGGCCTGCATATGCCCCTGCACACGTGGAGGTCAGAGGACAATTTTGTGGAGTCGGTTCTCTCCTTCCACCCTTACTTAAATGGTTCTGGAATTAAAGTCAGGTTGCCTGGCTTGTGTGCCAGCACTTCAGCTGTTGGGCTAGCATGCCTGACCCCTATTATTTTTGGAGTTGGAGGTCTTAGTACATAGCCCAGAATGGCATGGAATTCACAATCCCCCTGCCTCCTGTGTGCAAGCGTGACAGGTGTGCCACTGTGAAGCACGCTGTCCTATGCAATCGGCAAACTGCAAGCTCTCTTAGGTGCATCCCCAGCTCCTTCCATCCCTCCCTCCCTTTCTTCCTTTTTTTTTTTAGGTTTGAGACAGGATTTTACTATGTAGCTCTGACTGGCCTTGAACTCACAGGAACCTACCTGTCGCTGCCTCCTGAGTGCTGGGATTAAAAGTGGGGACTACCACTCCCACCTGGTTTGTTGTTTTAGATTTTATTTTGTAAGATTATTTTATGTATGTAAGTGTTTGCCTGCATGTATGTAAATGCACCCATGTATGTCTGGTGCCTGCAAGTTCAGAAGACACATCTGATTCCTTGGAATCAGAATTACAAGTGGCTGTGAGCTGCCATGTGGGTGCTTAGGAACTGAACCCACGACCCCTGGAAGAGCATTAGTGCTCTTAGCTGTTGAGCCGTCTTTCCAGGCCCCAAATTTTTTATTTTATTTGCTTGGTGTGCCTGAGTGTGTGCGTGGTGTGTGTGTGTGTGTGTGTGTGTGTGTGTGTGTGGTGCGTGGTGTGTGTGTGGTGTGTGTGTGTGTGTGTGTGTGTGTGTGTGTGTGTGTGTGTGTGTATTTGCTTGGTGTGCCTGAGTGTGTGCGTGGTGTGTGTGTGGTGTGTGTGTGTGTGTGTGTGTGTGTGTGTGTGTGTGTGTGTGTGTGTGGTCCCAGCATATCAGTGCTTTCCTAGCACCGACCTATGGCCCCATAATGCCAGGTCTCATTATGGATGTGGAAACTGCAGACAGCAGTAGCATGGTGTCATGTGGGGTTGAACTCACAGCTCTGTGGGTCATTCTATGTCAGGGAGAGGAAGAGGGGAGGGAGACAGGGGAAGGCTGGAGGCACTTGCTTTAAGCACAGCACCACCAAGCACCTCCAAGGAGGCCTTAGCTAGAAGCAGCTGTCTCCACACTGAAGGCTCTTGAAATCTGGGGTAGTCAGCTGGGTGGTGGTGGTGCACACCTTTAGTCCCAACACTCAGGAGGCAGAGGCAGGTGGATCTCTGTTTGAGATCAGCCTGATCTACAAGAGCTAGTTCCCAGACAGCCTCCAAAGCCACAGAGAAACCCTGTCTCGAAAAAAACGGAAAAAAAAAATCTGGGCTGGTCAAGAGCCACCAAGTAGTCCAGGCCCCAACCCAGCAGCTCCCTGGGTGGAATGAATACCCATATCATTGTGCTACAAGTTCACAAAGTGTGGATTGCACAACCACCCCATCATCTTAGATAGAGGAGCCCAAACTCGTTTGGGAGTTCAGAAGCCCACCTCGGTACATGCCCAGGAAGCCCTCGGCGCGAGCGGTTTTCATCAGGCAATCTGTCCTAGAAGCCGGGGCCAGAAAGGAAGTTAGTAACTCTTCCCCTTCCTGGGCACACCTCAGGAGGCCTGCCCCCCCCCCCATCCTTCCCTGAAGAAGCAAATGGAACCTCAGCCCCTTCCCAGGGTCCTCCTGCCTTCGCTTCTCCCACCAATACCTACATTCCTTTATACACATCCTTCCCCTGCTGGTTCTGCAGGCGGGTCTTGGCAAGGTCAATGGGAAACACGCAGGTCACCCCCACGAGTCCTGCCACACCTCCATTGATGAGTTTTGCAGTGATGCTAGGCCATGAGGAGGAGAGGAAGAGAAGTGGTGAGAGAGGGTACTTGGCCATAGCCTGCTAGGGTAGGGGACATGAGAGCAGGACCAGGCTGAGAAAAAATCAGGAATGGCAGCTTCCAGCTGACAGTGCTTGTCCCCTCCCTCCCTCCACACAGTTTAGGAGCCTCTTTCCAGGAAGCAGCCTGATTGTCTCCCAATAACACACAGTGAAGAGTTCACCACACTAAGACACTGCAGGCCTGCTGGGAAGGGGGCCCACCAGGGAGTTGGCAGGCCTCAGCTTGGCCTTCAAAGATGCCTTCCAGCCTCTCACCCTTGGAGGCCTGTGAGAAAGTGTTCAAACCAGTCCCAGTTGAAGGTCAAGAGAATGTGGTACAACTGAAGCCTGGCTGAGCTGTTCACTTGGGCGAGTTGCCTCAGTTGTCAGAAACCTCATTTCCCTCAGGTAAATGGCAGGCTGGAGACATGGCTCATCAGGTAAGAGCACTTGTTGCTTTTGCAGAGGGCCCAGGTTTGCATCTCAGCACCCACATGGCAGGCAGCTCACAACCATGTGTGACTCTAATTCCAGGGGATCTGACACCCTCTTCTGACCTCTGTAGGCACCAAGCATGCACATAAATTATGCAGGCAAAACATTCACACGAAACAAATCCAAAATTTTTTTCAAGGTAAGATGCCCTGTCTCTGACCATGTGCGCTTCTTAGCGAGAGAACCAAGATTAACAAGCATACATTATCTGTCCTAGCCTCTGTAAACACATGCTTTAGGAAACACGGCTTCCTCTTCCTGGTCAAGGAGAGGAGTCTGGGAATAGAAAACAAAGCTTTCTCAAACCCTTGGAAAAGTAAAACGTTCTTATCTCTCAGGCCATAAGCAGACAGGAGGATAATACTTGCGACAAAATAGCTAAAAGCAGTTAACAGGTTTCTTCACAAAGAAACCGGAATAAGCAAGAGAAGAGGGCCATGGCTTAAACTTCCCTGCAGAGATTTGTTAAAATAACTGAAAACAGATGGAACTCTGTGAGTTCAAAGCTAGGCTGGTCTACGGAGCAAGTTCCAGGATAGGCTCCAAAGCAATACAGAGAAACCCTGTCTCAAAAAAACAAAACAATTTCATTAAATAAAATGATTTTGATTAAGAAAAAAAATAATTGAAAACATTACCGCAGGGCAGGGGAGTTTAAAGAGGGTCTCGTGCAGACCCAGCTGGCCTGAAACCTAACCCTTGAGCCTCTGCCTCATAGAGCTGGGATACAGGCATGCACCATCATGCCCAGCTTGCAAACTGTATTTCAACAATACTGAGTGTGTGTGTCTGCTTGTATATTCGGGGCAACCGAATATACATTTGCTCTTCCCAATCATTCACTCTGCTTTTCTCATTGTAACCCTTCCTCAAACCAGCTGTTCCCCTCGGACCTACCTCAGGTCCTGGCTGGACATCCTTCCGGCGAACAACCACCGGCAGCTCCCAGGACTCAGGCTGTGGTGTCCTCACAGGCAGCTGCTGTTCAGGCCCGTGGGGAGGGAAGAAGTGTGTCTGTGTCCTTTACTCTAGCCCTCCACAGAGCTGACTGACAGGACACAGGATTCCTCGGGCCCCAGCATGTTCCATGTCCTCCCTTTTGGAAATGTGCATTCAGACAGAATCCTTAACTGTTTCGACATTGACCAGAAAATAAAGGGAGGGGGTGAGAAAGGAGAAGCCCAAATTAAAAGGCTATCCCAAAAGGCTTTGGAGGCGTTCTGGGAGTAGTGGAGACATGGGTTATGAAGAAATTTTACCAGGTCCCCTCTCACAATAGACAAGGACTGTAATACTTGAGATGTTCTCAAAGGTTTCTCTGTGTAACCCCGGCCGTCCTGGAATGTGTTCTGGAGACCAGATTGGCCTCAAATTCACAGAGATCCACCTGCCTCTGCCTCCTGAGTGCTGGCATTAAAGTCATGCAACACCACCACCCAGCTGTAACTTTTAAAAAAAAAAAAATTTTTTTTCTGAGACAGGATTTCTCTGTAAGTTTGGAGACTGTCCTGGAACTCTCTTCGGAAACCAGGCTAGCGTTTGTGGCGCACGCCTCTAATCCCAGCACTCGGGAGACAGAAGCAGGTGGATCTCTGTGAATTCTAGACCAGCCTGATCTACAAGAGCTAGTTCCAGGACAGCCTCCAAAGCCACAGAGAAACCCTGTCTTGGAAAAAAAAAAAAAAAAAAAAAAAGAAAACCAGGCTGGCCTGGAACTCAGAGACCTGCCTGCCTCTTCCTCCCAAGTGCTGGGATTAAAGGCGTGAGCCACCAGTACCGGCATTTTTTAAAAATTTTAATGTGAGGAAAAAGGGTGACATGAGACAGAGACTTGCTATAGAACCCACAATGACCTCAAACTCCCTATGCAGATGAAGATGGTTTTGAATGCCTGATCCTCTTGCCTTCATCCAGGTGCTCAGATTATAGGTGTTGGCCATCCTGCTTGGGATTATGGGTTTTTGTTTTGTTTTCAAGACAGTTTCTCTGTGTAGCTTTGGCACCTGTCCTGGCACCCAGGACACACTGTAAATTCTGGCCTCGAATTTACAGACATCTATCTGCCTGCCTCTGCCTCCCAGGTGCTGAAATTAAAGACTTGAGCCACCACTGCCAGGCATATTATTATTATTATTTTTTCCCCTCCGAGGTAGGGTTTCTCTGTAGCTTTGTAGGATGTCCTGGAACTAGTTTTTTTTTTTTTTTTTTTTTTTTTAAAGATTATATTTATTATGTATACAACATTTTGCTCCCATGTATATCTGCACACCAGAAGAGGGCACCAGATCTCATAAGGGATGGTTGTGAACCACCATGTGGTTGCTGGGAATTGAACTCAGAACCTCTGGAAGAGCAGTCAGTGCTCTTAACCTCTGAGCCATCTCTCCAGCCCGGAATTAGCTCTTGTAGACCAGGCTGGTCTCGAACTCACAGAGATCTGCCTGCTTCTGCCTCCGGAGTGCTGGGATTAAAGGTGTGCGCCACCAACGCCCGGCCATATTATGGTTCTTAACTATGTTTTCTAAAGTTTCATATGAAACCAAGCTGTGCTTTGTCTATGGATTTACTGAGTTATTTAGGGTTTGTTTTTCTAGACAGGCTTTCTCTTTGCAGCCTTGGCTGTCCTGGAACTAGCTCTGTAGACCAGACTCAAACTAACAGGGATCCTCCTGCCTCTGCCTTCCAAGTGTTTGTTGTTGTTTGGTTGGGGTTTTTTGTTTTGTTTTGTTTTCGGGGGTAGTTTGGGGGTTTTTTGAGACAGGGTTTCTCTGTGGCTTTGGAGGCTGTTCTGGAACTAGCTCTTGTAAACCAGACTGTTCTCGAACTCACAGAGATCTGCCTGCCTCTGCCTACCGAGTGCTAGGATTAAAGTCATGCACCACCACCGTCCAGCTTTTTGTTTGTTTTTGAGATAAGTTCTTCCTTGTAGCCCTGGCTGGGCTGGGACTCACCATGTAGACCAGGTTGGCCAGAAACTCACCGAGATCCACCTGCCTCTACCTCCTGAGTGCTGGGATTGAAGGTGTTCACTACCATGACTGGTGTTTCATTTATGATTGTCACATAAGGAAAACACCAAGACTGGAAATGGAAACTATAGTAATTGGAGGCTGAGGCACAGGATCCAAGTTCAAGGCTGTCCTGTATCACAAAGTACTATAGAGGAAAATAGGTGCTAAGGAGAAGGGTTCACATGCTTCTGTGTGTGTGTGTGTGTGTGTGTGTGTGTGTGTGTGCGCGTGCGCGCACGCCCCCATGTCTATCTTTAGCTACATAATCAAGTTCAAGGTCAGCTGGAGATACATAAAATCCTGTCTAAAGAACAAGAAACACTGCCTCTTCTGAGTATTTCCTGCCTCCAGCCCAGTGAGAAGCATCAGGAAAGGCTCATCTAGACTGGCCTGAGAGCTGTCTCCACTACAAGCTGCTTTGGGGTCCCCTCCTCCACCTTCCTTGCTTTTCCTGAGGCTGCCAAGCAAGTATTAGTCATCTCTAGGTCTTTTATTTTGGGAAAGGAAAGAGTGGGAGAGTAAGAGGAAAATGACTTTCTTGGAGATATGTTAACCACTCCCGTAAAAGCATATTGTTGAAGAGGCCAAAGAGATGGCTGTTCCTAATCAGGAACACTTGCTCTTCCAAGGGCCGCAGGTTTGATTCTTAGCACCCACATGGCAGCTTACAACCATCTGTAACTTGTTTTAGGAGACTTGATGCAGTCTCTGACCTCTGCAAGCACCAGACAAACATCCCAAAAGTGGTGCACATACATACATACATACATACATACATACATACATACATGTAGGCAAAACACCCACAACCAGTTCTGGGGAAGAAATGACTGAGATTTTATCTCTTTTGGACTTAAATTCTAGAAGCAACAGATAATACACAGGAAAGCCTGGAGATCCTAAAGAGTAAGAAATACTGTGAAGAAAACGGTGCCTTATATTTATCATCCAAGCACCTGGGAGCCTTGGTAGGAGGGCCTGGTGTGCAAGGACGGGGAAGGACGCTGGGAGATGACTCTCTCAGTAAACTGCGTAGTTCAGAACAAGCACCGAACTCAGTACTGGGGGGCGGAGACATGTGGCTCCCTGAAGCTCACTGGTCAGCCACCCCTCTTTCCCCCTAAAGATTTATTATGTGCTTGCATGCATATCTGCAGGCCAGAAGTAGGCACCAGATCTCATTATAGATGGTTGTGAGCCACCATGTGGTTGCTGGGAATTGAACTCAGAACCTCTGGAAGAGCAGGCAGTGCTCCTAACCTCTGAGCCACCTCTCCAGCTCCAGCCAGAAATTGTTCCCAAAAATATAAGTGGAGAGTGATGAAGTCTTCTGAGGGTGATCTCAGCCCCCCACCTCTGCCATGCATGAAAGAGGGGTGCTGGTTTAGAGGGCAAGCACTGACTACAAAGTCAGTGAAGTCTGGGCAGGGTTTCACCAGGCAGCCATGCAGGTGTGAGGCCAACGCAAAGCCTACAGGATTTGGCTCATCTACCTGTGCCAGAGTCCTCGATTCCTCTCCAGAACCGCCAAAAAAGAAAAACAGGACCTTAACAGCTGAGTAGTGAGCTGAAGGGGCAGCAAGGTCAGGAAAGGAAAGTTAGAAACAGATGTGTGTGTGGGGGGGGTGCTGAGCAGAAAGGGGTGACATGCTCAAGACAGATCCATGTCAGCTATGGTTAGACAGAGCATATCAGCAGACAGCAGCATAAGGCTTAGTAACTCGGCAAGACACGGGACCATCCCAGAGCACAAACTTCCTGGTGGGCCAGAGCTCAGAGATTAAGGGCGTTGTGGGGAAACATGAGTTGGTGGTGGGAGAAGCTGAAGGAAACTAGCAGCATAGAAATTGAGAAACTGATCTGTTGTCCAAACAGAATTGAAGTCTACAGGAAAGGCAGATGAAAAACAAGCACACTAAGAAGGGATCCAATGCAGCCACTCCTGCTTCAGGAGCGTTCCCGTGGCAAGCTTTTGCTTTTTTTTTTTTTTTTCCTGAGACAGGGTTTCTCTGTGTGGCTTTGGAGCTTATCCTGGCACTCACTCTGGAGCCCAGGCTGGCCTCGAACTCACAGAGATCTGCCTGCCTCTGCCTCCTGAGTGCAGAGGTCCTGAGTTCAATTCCCAGTAACCACATGGTGCCTCCCAACCATCCGTTATGACATCTGGTGCCCTCTTCTGGGGTGCAGATATACATGGAAGCAGAATGTTGTATACATAATAAAATCTTTAAAAAAAAAAAACAAAGATCTTGTGACAATGTTGCTATAAACAAACATGTATTGTTTTAAAGGTGTGTGCCACCAACTCCCGGCTCCGTGGCAAGCTTTTATTTTGCTGTTTGATACTGGGGACTGAACTCTGGGCTCGGGCCTTTTTCTACCAATGAGCCCTATTTTACTTTTTTTTTTTTTTTTTTTTTTTTTTTTTAAAGGGTTTTTTTGTGTTGAAGTGTAGGCCTGGCTGCTCTGGAACTCGATCTGTAGACAAGGCTGGCCTTGAACTTACAGAGATCCCCCCGCCTCTGCCTCCTGAGTGCTGGGATTAAAGGTGTGCACGACCACCCCCTAGCATCTATTTCAGAGACATGATTTTGCTAAGTTTGCCCAGGCCTGCCTAGAACTCACTACATAGTCTAGGCTGGCCTCCAACTTATAATTTCCCTGCCTCAGCCTCTCCTCTAATTAAGACTACAGGCCTTATTAATATTAATCCTCGTTACCGGCTCCTGCCTAAATGCCAGCTGTTGTCTTGTCCTTGGATCCTGAGTCATTCAACAGACCTCGCTACATACCCTGCCAGACTTGCAGTTAAAATTTTACTATCGTGTATGTTTTATTTATGGTGTGTGTGTGTGTGCCACAGCACACTGTGGAGGTCAGAGGGCAACCCTCGGGTTACAGGGTTTGTATAGCAA